TGATTTTGACCGGTACCCAGTCGGGTGATCACCTTACCCGGTCGGGTACCCGGCCAAAGGTGTTGAAAAACACCTATAAATAGCACACTTTTCCTTCACAAAAAATTATCCCTTCTTCCATACTCTTAATCTCAGTTTAGAATAACATTTCTTTATATTTTCCTAGCTATGTTTAGTCTCCAAATGAGGAGCTAAACTCTACCATCTTGGTTTTGCTACTTTGAAGCTTAATGAATTGTAAGTTGTGAGTTATTTTCTTTAATCTTCTTCCTTGAATGTTAATTATTAGTTCTTTCCTTAATACTATCTCTATATTAATGTTGGGGAGTGTTGCTAAGATGACAATTAGTTAACACCTTGACATTAATTATAGTGGTATTTTATTCCTCTATATTAATGTTGGGGAATGTTGCTAAGATGACAATTAGTTAACATCTTGACATTAATTATGGTAGGATTCATCTTCTTTAATAATATTCTTCCTTGAATATTAATTAATTCCTATTCATATTTCATATTAATATTTTGAACATTACTTAAAGGATCAACTAATTTTGTTTCATATATTAATTATTACTAGAATCAATCGATTAATACGCTTGTTATTAATTCGGTTCGTTCAACGGTAGTAAACTTGGATTATTAATGCATGTATCTCATGGTTAATAATCTAAGGGGAATTAATTATATTGATTAAACCAATAAACCGCTTGTGTTGAGGTTATCAATCTTAATCGTTTTCATCTTAAGTTTATTGCTACGATCGGGTTAATATACGGCGCGTGTTCTATATTGACTCGGTAGTAAGTTTTATTAATGAACGCGTCTCGTTATTAATAACTACCCTCGATGAATTGGATATACTCCTCGGTTGAGTATTTGAGAGGAAAATAGTTAAAGATATAATCGGGATCGACGAACATTTCATTAAATGGATAAAAGCAAAACCAAGTACTTATGTCTATTAATTAAACTTATATAAGTCGTTCATCTTAGTGTTAATTAAATTAAATCAAATCAAATATAAAACCCCCCTTGTTACTAGAATTTAATCAAAAAGAAAAATATTTCTTTCCCCGTGGATACGAACCTTACTACACTATACTACGTATAAGTGTTGTATTGTAATTATTATTTTGAAGTGCACACCCCGACAAAGTGCACGCCAGTACCTTACTTCAACCTCTTTTCTTTCGATGCACTTCAGGATGTAGTGATAGTGCGTATCAATGTGTTTGCTTCGGTCATAGAACACCGGATTCAATCTCAATGTTATTGCAGACTTATTATCCACAAATATCTCTGTAGTTTCCTTCTGTGTCACTCCTATTTCTTTGAATAGATGTCGAAACCATATAGCATGACAAACACATGAGTTGGCGGCAACATACTCGGTTTCACATGTAGAGAGGGTCGCAATAAGTTGTTTCTTTGAACTCCAAGTAAAAGTCATATTACCCATAAGAAAGACAAATCCGGTTGTACTCTTATGATCATCAACATATCCGATCCAATAACTATCACTATACCCGACAAGCTTGAAATCTTTTCAAGAATTGTAAGTAGCCAAAGTTAAGAGTACCTCTAATGTCGCGAAGAATTCTCTTGGCGGTCTTCCAATGAGAGGTTCTTGGATCTTCCATATACCGGGTAATGAGACCAACTCCGTATAAAATGTCGGGCCTTGTACAATTCAAGTATCATAAGCTCCCAACTATGCTCTTGAACATTAAGGACTCCACCTTTTCTTGATCACCAAACTTAGATGATTTTAGCCCACAATCCACCATTGTATTGATCGAATTACAGTCCTCCATTTTAAACTTCTCAAGAATTTTCTTCGCATACCCTTCTTTACCGATGAAAATTTCACTTTCACTTTGTCTCACCTCAATTCTCAAATAATAAGACATTAATCCCATATCGGTCATTTCAAATTCTTGACTCATTGCATTTTTGAAATTCTCAAATATATTGGGATTATTTCAAATCCATTTGAAAAATCTTCCATTTATTTTGAGCCGCCAAATAAATTTATAATGTCCCCGTCAATATAAAGGCAAACAATCAAGATATCTCCATTTTTCTCCTTTTTGACATAAAGAGCATGTTCATGGGGACTATAAATTTATTCTCTTGGAAATACCTATCAATTCTAGCATTCCAAACTCTTGGGGCTTGTTTCAAACCATAAAGTGCCTTTTTCAATTTTAGAACTTTATCTTCATGCCCTTTTATTTTATATCCCGGTGGTTGCTCTAAATAAACTTCTTCTTCTAGCTTTCCATTTAAAAATGCGGACTTCAAATCCATTTGAAAAGTCTTCCATTTATTTTGAGCCGACAAAGAAATTAAAAATATTATTGTTTCCTAATGGGCAACGGGAGCAAATACCTCTTTATAGTCGATGTCGGCTCTTTGGTTGTACCCTTTCGCAACCAGTCTTGCTTTGTACCCCCCCCCCCCCCCCCCCCCGGCATTCTTATTTTCTTTAAACAACCACTTTGAACCAATTGCTTTGTGCCCTTTGGGTAAGGTAGCCAATTCCCACGTATCATATTTTATGATGGCCTTCATTTCTTCATCCATGGCTTCCATGCATCCAATTCTTGTCGTTAACCGCTTCTTCAAAACCTATTGGTTCACAATCGACAAGAAGACAAAACAATATTAGATCATTAATATTTTCAGTTACCTCATATAGCTCTTGTATGCTCCTTAAGCGAGGCGATCTTTCATTTGAGTTGTCTTCACTTGTCGATCCTTCTTGCTCGGGTGATGGTGGAGTTGGACTCGTGGGCTCTTCATGAGCAAGCTCTTGTTGCTCCTCTTCTTCTCCATTGTAGTAAGACAAGAAATTGTAGTTTTCTTCTTTATGAGTCCAATCCCAAATCCCAAGTGCTCTCTTCATCAAACTCCACATCACGGCTAACTACAATTTTTCCATTGCTTTGATTGTATAGCTTGTACGCCTTTGCTCTTGCATCATAGCCAATTAAGATAAGCTTCTCACTTTTGTCATCCAATTTGCTCCTTTTTTGATCTGGCACATGAGCATAAGCAATACTCCCAAAAACTTTCAAGTGGGCAATTTCGGGCTTTCTTCCGCTCCATGCTTCTTCGAGTGTTTTGTTCCACACACTTCGAGAAGAGGAAAGGTTTGACGAATAAATTGCACAATCCACGGCTTCGGTCCAAAAAAATTTGGAACATTTTTGCTCTTGAGCATGCTTAATTAGAACCATATTAAGTAGAGACCAATTTTTCCTTTCGACAACTCCGTTTTGTTGTGGAGTATATGGAACCGTTAAGCGGCAATAAATACTGTTTTCTTCACAAAAATTTTCAAATTCCTTTGAAATGAAATCCCCCTGCGATCGGATCTCATGGATTTTCTTTGAAACCCGCTTTCATTTTCAACAAGAGCTTTGAATTTCTTGAAGGCCCCAAAAATGTCGGATTTTTTTTAGAAAATAAACCCATGTTTTCCGATTAAAATCATCAATAAAAAGAGAAAAATAATTACTTTATCTGAGAGAGCTTGGTTTAATTGGCCCACATATATCCGTATGTACAAGCTCTAATGGTTGTTTTGCTCTTGTAGATGCTTGCTTTGGAAAACTTTTCCGCGGTTGCTTTCCAAATAAACATCCCTCACATAATTGATTAACTTCATTTATTTTGGGCAAACCTTTAACCATATTTTTGTCACTCAACAATTTTAAACCTCCAAAATTAAGATGCCCAAACCTCAAATGCCAAAGCCAAGATGCATTTTTAAAACATGCTTTCAAACATTTAGCTCCCCCTTTTTCAATGTTTAATGAAAAATTCTATTTCTTGACATTGGTACTTTAGCAACCAAAACCTCATTTTTTATCTCATCAAAAGGGTATGATTTTTCATATGAATGTCATATCCGTTTTCTAAAATTGCCCCAAACTTAAAATGTTTGATTTCATGTTGGGCACATAGTAGACATTAGAGATGAAATTATTTTTTTCATTTTTTTACTGGATTAAAATTTTCCCCTTTCATTTTACGGAAATCTTTTATTCATCTCCAAAATAAATGTTTCCACTTACCGATTCATCAATCTCGACGAACATATCTCTCTTCCCGCAATGTGGTTGCTTGCTCCCATGTCTAAGTACCAAGTCGTTTTGGATTCACTTTTTCTTTCTTTATGGGCCATCAACAATGTTAAATTTACTTCTTCTTGCTTAGCAAAATTTGTCCGCTCCTTAACTCTATATTTTGCAAATCTGCAATCGGAGGCATAATGACCAAATCTTTGACATTTATAGCATTGAACTTGAGGTTTATCATACCAAATCTCTTCCTCGGTCTCTTGATGGATAAAAATTTGGACTTCTTTCTTCTTTGTTGAAAGTCTTGTAGCAACCTCTTCCATAGCTTTGACTTCGACCATGCTCACTTAAATTTTGATTTCTTCCATCTCAATATGACTTAGGGTGAGCTTGGTTTGAAGAGCTTGCTCCAATGGCTCTTGATTTATTCTCTTCTTGAATATTTTCTTCATGAGCTTGAAGAGATCCAAAAAGTTGATTGACCGTCATAGTTTCTAGATCTCTAGATTCTACTATTGCCACAACTATCTATTCAAATTTTTAATCTAAAGATCGTAGAATTTTTTCAACCACTCGATTGTCTTTAATCTCTTCTTCATTTCTTCTTATTTGAGTAATGACGACGATTTGAACTCTTGAGAAATAGTCATCAATGGATTCTGAAGAGTTCGTTCTTAATGATTCAAACTCACCTCGAAGAGTTTGGAGTCTTACTTTCTTCACCTTATTTACTCCTTTGAAAGAATTCTCCAATATCTCCAAAGATTGTTTGCTTGTAGTTGCACACGACACCTTTGCGAACATAGCTGGTCTGCTCTATTTAAATCTGGTCTGGTCTGAACTGGTCCCGTAAACGTCTAGTCTTTGTGACAAATACAAACTCAATTGTGCTACACTAATACACAAATGGTAAGCTCTCTCAACTTGCAAACAAATACAAACTCAATTGTGCTACACTAATACACAAATGGTAAGCTCTCTGCAACTTGCAAATAAAAGTACAGGCCGGCAGGCTATCACAAAGCCAATTTCTTCTTGATGCCGATCCACCTTGAGAAGATAATGGCCTGATGATGATGGTGTATGCTGGACGAAGGGTTGCATCGTCTTGTATCTCATTCCCACTCTCAAAGAAGCTCCTCATGGACTGTCACTCATCATCTGCTTCCAAGAACTGCTCCCGGTCTGGACTTATGGCCTTGGCTAAGCAGCTACGCCTGTATAAGGCTCCACCAAGCTATGTGGATGAAAGGTCAGAGGTGGTTTCTACGGTGGGTTTTCAAGAATCAATGACCTCAGTTGTTGGGGGGTTTCAAGAATCTACAACCAAGAGGGCGGCTGTCTTGATCTGCCTCTTTGAAGGTGCTGCTGGAGAGTTTCGTGTTATTCTCACTAAGAGGTCTTCAAATCTCTCTTCCCACTCTGGTCAGTCAATCTTTTACTCCCAGGGATGTGGTTTATTCAGGAAAGGTGAAATCTTTGAAAAAAAGAGCGATGGATAGACGATAGTGCGGCTTGATCTTTTACCGATAACCGATTAGTAATACAAAAACGGATAAGCTTGTGTTCAACATAATTACATATTGCCAGCAGTTTGTTTCCGGAATTATCTGTACTCAAGTCCTTAAAATCACAAAAAGATTTTACTTTCTCCTAACTTGTTTGAGAGTTTAGTTTTGGTGGAGATGTCAATTTTTTCATCAAGGAAATATTGCTTTAACGTGGTGATAATTTAAAATAAACGGTTTAAAGTAATTAAACCACCAGTGGTTTCCCAATGATCAGAATGCCATTTCATTCGGAATACACCTAGGAATGTTAAACATGGGGGGCAAGCTTTTTTCGTGCCCATTTAGCACCAGGACACTTCAACAACTAGTATACATGGAACGCTGCTTCAAATGAGCAATGCGTTTATAAAAAAGCTGCCAACTGTGTTTTCCTTCCGGCCCTTCCCAGTTCCCACAATGAACAAAAGCAGATAGATGGTCAAGGGATTCACAATTTCTACTCCTGCACTTCTATTTTTTTAACATCGTTGATAGAAATCTGCTTTACAGCATCAGCTAGCACAAATATCAGGAGTTCAGCTTTGTCTCATTGCTCACGTGCCATAAGTTCTCTAACCAAAATACCTCTATCATGTCTATCATATATATATATATATATGTGTATATATATATATATGTGTGTATATATATATATATATTCCCATTGTTTTTCAATAATTTATTTGACAGGCTTCCCAAATGAATTTTAAGCTGAAATTTTGTGGACAAAACCACACTTCAAGAAGAACATGCTTGTTAAAGTATTTGTCCCACACCAAAAAGTTATAAAACAATAAAAATAAGACTTCGGGTTGCACCTCCTATCAGGCTCACCTTTTTAGGGCAGCAACCTCGGGTTTTAACATGGTATCAGAGCCAAGTACGTTTGTGGTTTGACTACTTGTTTAGCACCCATTATTAAGGGTAGCTTGTTAAGGGTCTGTTTGGCCCATTTATACACGCTGATATTGTTCATCCCGGTTCGGGTTGAGGGGGCCTATTCACACCGGAGAGCTATAAAACAATAAAATATTATATAAGACTTTGGGCTACACCTCCTGTCAGGTTGACCTTTTAGGATAGAACTCTGGGTCTTAACAATGCTCACAAAATTTCATAAAAAAAATCCACGCGGAACCACCTCCAATGGATGCAGCTGGACAGCAGTTCCAGTCAGGAAGTCCTAACCAGAAGATTACTCTATATATAGGGGAGAGTTCAAATAAAAAGTGGTACTCCCGTGCAAAGTGAGAACGGTTGCACTTTTCTCTCAACGCGTTGCACTTTTCGTGGTGGCAAAGAACTTCAGTTATTTACGAAATTGTCACCGCGTTTTTGATCAAATCCAGTGCTGGCTCATTTTGAGCCATTAGATCTGGAAATGAATGCACAAAATTTATTTTCACTTTGCATGGGAAGACCTCTTTGTATTTGAACCCTCCCCTATATATCATTTTGCCAAGTTCAAATAAAAAGCGCTCTTCGAATGAAAAGTAAGAATAGATCATGTGCATCCAATATATGATCAAATGGCCTTAAATATGCCAACAATACATTAAAATTGATCAAAATTATATGTATATATTTCAAAGTCTACTTATCTAGTTAGAAGTTTGCATGTCCTTTAATTTTCCATTGAATATGGACATTTTAAAGATTCCTTGCAGCCGGCGCCCCTCTTCCCAATTTGGGAGAATTTTGTAATTGGGGGGGGGGGGGGGGGGGGGGGGGGGGTTGAGAAAGCATGACCGTACATGTCATTGCAGTTCTCAATCATTTGACTTTCCTTTCTAGTAGCTTGGGTCATGACATGTTTACTGCCTGGTAACTAGTATTCAAATTTTTGAGCACTTAAGCTATCAACAATTCAACAGTGAGATGAAACTAATTAACTCACCCAATAGCCATTGTAGGGGATGTCAATCACGAGGTTCCATAACTGAAGAAAGAGAGTTAGCGTGTGCGTTTTTTGTTATTTTTGCAACAACATACAAATTCCTTGCCTTTGGCAAGATGCAAAGCCCCTTATGTGTTAAGTGTCCCACATCGGATGTTTACCACATCTATATCTAATGTATAAGTGTGAGGTAAATCTACTCCTTGAGTGTTCTTTGGGATGAGGTAAACAGCGTCTGGCCTGTTTGTGATTTGTTTGTTTGACATCTACTGTTTGGTGTAGCCTTTTTGGGTGAGTTTGGCCCACCCCTAAAGTTGTTCAGGCTAGTTTGGACGTACATGACTTGTTATAGTGTGCTACTGTGGATGTTTAGTATAGCGACTGTGTCCTATATACAAGTACGAGACAAACTTCACTTCTTGAGGATCCTTTTGGGATAATTTAGGCCCAATTTAATAGTAAACCCCGTAAATATTGTCTTCAGTTTTGATCTATGTAATAATGAAACTTTCTTTTGATGTCAGGTGAAGTTGCATTGCCAGGCGGAAAGGCGGAAGAAGGTGATGCAAGTGATGCTGAAACCGCTACAAGGGAAGCAGAAGAAGAAATCGGACTGAATCCCTCACTTGTTAATGTCCTCACATGCCTTGAGCCATTCTTGTCTAAGGTAACAGTATGCCTCCACCCCCCCCCCCCCCCCCCCCCCCCCCCCCCCACCTATTCAAATCTATAGAGCCACTTGGTTGATTACTTTATTCATTTTTAATATTTTGATTATTATATTTTCATGCAGCACCTGTTTAGAGTAATTCCTGTTATTGGAATTCTCACTGATAAGAATGCATTCAATCCCACACCTAATGTCGCTGAAGTAGAGGCTGTTTTTGATGTGCCGTTAGAAATGTTTCTCAAGGTCCCATTCTTCTCTATATTGTGCTTTACATTCCTTTCATTTGAGTCTATGTTTGGACCCCGGAAAGTACTACTGAAACGGAAAAAGGCATTGGCAAGAATGTTATTTTCTTGTACATGATCTGATAGTTTAAAATTAGAGGGAAAATCAAATTTGATGATAATTTGAATTTTTTAGTATTTATGTAGTAGACTTAAAAAAATGAGTATCATCAAATGTCTAAAATCATTTGTTTGGTTTTAGCATATCTCTTACTTTACAACTCTATTTTCTTCCCCTAATACTTCCCTGGTTCCATTTGAGAGGGTTTGTTTATGGTTGCATGTCTCCATCTTCATCAGGATGAACACAGAAGATCAGAAGAAAGAGAATGGATGGGGCGCAACTATTTAATCCACTACTTTGATTATGAGGTGGGGGAAAACAACAAGTATCTGATTTGGGGATTAACAGCTGGTATCTTGATCAGGGCTGCTTCCATTGTGTATCAAAGGCCACCTGATTTTCTGGAGCAACTTCCTAATTTAAAGGGTCCAAGCAGCAACAGCAGCAGCAGCAACCTTGACTTGAATCTAAAAAATGCTATGTGAGTTAGGTCCTATGTGACTATTTTTTGCCGAAAATCTGGTTCTATATAAACTCTTTGATGTGATAGTGTAGCTGGGATATTGATGAACATTGTCCAGAAATAGAACAAAATTTGACTTCTTCCCAGAATTTCTGCTTGAGAAATGTAGTTGCCTTCTATCCATGCTTTGCTTCCTTCGGTTGGCATTCTCCTGCCTCCCAGAGAGGACAGTTTCTGATGTGGTTTGCTCCAAATCGATAATTGAGATTATTTGTGAATTTAAAGTACTCAGATCAGTATATCCTTTCGGTTAATGAGCGAGGAACAAATCGTTATGACAGAATTTAAGTTGTGAAGATCCATTGGATCCATTTCTTTTAGAATGATCCATTGGATCCATAATCCATTGGCTACTTTAAAAATACTCTAAATTTAAGTTCCATGATACCTAGTTCGCCAATGCCTCCTATTGTTCATAAGCCTTAACCGGATAAAATTTTGTTGTGCAACCGGAGGAGATACCCCGTATTTAGCCCGTATTAAGGACTTCAATTCTTTGGTTTTGACATAGTAGAGTGTTCATAGAGATGAAATCATAAACTTTGACGACCCATATAGTACTTATGATTAATACATAATTAAGTGGGGATCGAATATGAGTATACTTGCATGCTTGTTCTCTAATTTGTCATGTTGGCCTTCGACTTTGTCCAATGGTATTTAGCGGGTGTTTGGATCTGATTCTTAAAACTGTTTCTGCTCTTTCAGGGAGCATAAGTTAGAGTGTTTGGGTGAAAGTGCAGAATTGATTCTGGTGCTCTAATTTACTCCTAGAATCAGTTTTTTTAGAAGCTGAGGTGACCAGCTTCTGAAAACTGATTCTGGTTCTGCTTCTGCTTTAAAAAAGAAGCATAAGCAGAATCAATTCCAAACACCCCCTTAATAAGTTTGCTTGCAGTGCTTTATGTAATTATTAGTTAAATCAAAATTAAAATGTTTACTTATTCAGAATACTAGTAACATGTAATGCAAGTTAAATCATCTTTATTTCAGCATACTATTAAGTGAAAATAGCATTGTACTTCTTCAAAATTTCCTCCATTAAAATAACTCTATTGTATATTAAAAGTGCTAGGCCCGGGACTTGGAACCATAAAAACGGGAAAATCGATCCGAACCGAACCGAATTTTCCGGTTCGCTTCGGTTCCTATAACTTTGGACTTCATCTTTTTCGGTTCGGTTCCTATAGTATATGATCGGTTCGATTCCGGTTTGGTTCTAGTTCGGTTCCAGTTCGGTTCCGGTTCCTTAGCAGAAACCGGACTTCTTATGTATTGCATGAGTAATCTTCATTTGAGGTGCTTCTATGTGGAATTTTTTGATGAAATTTTGTGAGCTTGTTTTCAATGGAATGAAGATTATGTCCACTAAATTTGAGCTTAAAATTCAGTCGGAAAGTTATTTAAATAAATTATTGAAAAACACTACGTCAAAATACATGTAAAAAACACAATGTTTTTTAATATTTTATTTAACTCATTTCCCGATTATATTTTAAGTTGAAATTTGGTGGATGTAATCTACACTTCATGTAGAACATGCTCACAAAATATCTTCAAAATATTCTACCCGGAAGCACCTCAAATGGAGGTTGCCAGACGACGTTCCGAGCAGAAAATTCTTGTCAGGAATATTTGTCTTGCATAATATACCTTATATATTGTGAACCATGCCAATTCGAGTAGTAGTTATTTTACTACTTTAGTCGCTTTTTATATTTATTATTTGTTTGTGATTGTATTGGTTGTTTGAGTTCACAATAAGGAAATAGTATTCCGCTGATTATGTTGTTACTTGTTCATAGTAAATTACAAATATTACTACGTACTTTTTACTTATGGTGCATTACTAGTAGAAGAATATTATTTTGAGGTTGAACTACCTCCTATTGGATGTGTACCTTGAAGTTATTAAACTTTTTTGCTTGATAGTTGATGCATATTTTAAACCTTTATGTTGTTGTTATGTTTAAACTTAATGTTTGCATTTGGATATTTTTGTGATATTTAAAAATTGGAATATCATGTATGTATAATGTAATTGTCATAATTTCATCATTAAAATTTGAATTTTTTATGTAACTGAACGTAAAATGTATTCATTTTAGGAGGATAATAAATTTTTATTAGGAACCGAAAAAATGTAAGAACCGAACCGAATTTAACTAGAACCGAACCGAATTTAACAACTACATTTTTAACTAGAACCGAACCGAATTTAGTGCCTATAATTTTTAATACGGTTCCATCGAATTTTAACAAGAACCGAACCGATCACGGGCCTAAAAAGTGCATCATAGTTAAACTTCGATTTTCTATTTCAAAATTTAAAGCACAGTAAAGATAGACATGGGTTATGTAAATTATACTACCTACATATTATAGACTAATTCCTTGTTTCCGTCAATTCTTTAAACAGGTAAAACTTGTTAAGCAGATGGAGAAAGAGTACTTCGGAATCACAATGGAGGAAACAAGTGCTATGTGCAGAGAATATACCAAGTGTTGAAGATGATGCAGAACTGATAGAAGAAGACACAGATAAAACCATTTAAATGTAATCCTAGTTCTAAGATTTGGAAAGTTGTGTCATCTTTAAATTAATGTTGTTTTCCTACTTTGTTTTAACCTAGTAGTTTTGTTTGATTTGATGATGATCTATTTTGAACAGCTATACTCAAAAACTTCTTAATGAAGTCGCATGCACAGAGTTTACGTTCACTTCCTTCACTTCTCTATGAGTAAATGTCACGAGAGTCGATCAAATTGCCAGCAGGGGGGTGACCTATCTTGGGAAAACTCATGAGAATTGATCTGATTATGATATTACCTTCTAAGATTTATACGGAATTACGGACTTTACGGAGTACTTATGTAACATCAAATGTTTGTAAATGTCTAAACATGAGAAATTACAACTCAAATTGAACCCTATATTTGAGCCTCCAGATGCGATGTACTTCCTCCATAATATTCATATCTTCTCATTTTCTTTTTCGTCCGTAACATTCATATCTTCCCATTTCTAAATTTCCCCATCATACCCTCAATAATTTTTAAAAGGGAGAACTATCGAATAAGATCTCAAACATACATAAAGAGTGCAAATAAGCCTTTTTATAGGAGGCTCTGGTTGGCCGTCGCCATTTAGGGTGGTTTCCGGTGGAACTTTTTAATGAATTTTTTTGAGCATCTTCTTCATTAAGTCTAGTTTACCCATACCAAATTTCAGCTAAAACTTCAACCGAGAAGACAGTCAAATGATTTTCTGAAATATACTGTGTTGTTTAACTGCACAGTTATCTTCAAAAATTCATTTGAGTGTCTTCCCGATTGAATATTTAGCTGAAATTTGGTATGACTAAACTAGACTTAATGAATAAGATGCTCAAAAAATTTCATCAAAAAATTCCACCGGGAACTACCTCAAATGGCAATTGGCAACGGTCGGACAGAACCTCCTATAAAAGGGCTTATTTGCACTTTTTATGTAAGTTCGAGGGCTTATTTGATAGTTCTCCCTTTTTAAAATAATACATTATTACAACTTTTTTTTTGGATTTATCCTTCTTTCACTATTTTTAATCTCACATACTTTTAAACGGGAAGATATATACGATAGTATATGTTACCGAGGAGGTAGTAACATCCACTGTGGTCAGAGTCCACGGTAAACACTTGAGTGCAAATTCACGCATCTTCACGCTCAGAAGTTTATCAAAAGAGTTCTTTATTCAAAAAATCATACTTGAGTGCAAATTCTGCTTTTCAATAATTATTAGCCTAACAAAAATACACACTATACTGGGATTTGTTCATTTGTTGGATGCTTTTTATACTATCTTCCATTACATGTGGCTGTAGAAAACATCCAATTGTATCCTAAGCATAGTAAATCTCTTTGGTGGATTTAAAAGAAAGAATTTTTTTAGTTTAATTTGTATTTATAAAAAAACAAAAATAAATTTTTATATTGAAGTTATGGAGCCTTTACCTCATCCAGCGGCCAAAGCTTTCAAGAGCACACATTTCACTCATTTAACCATGTTTATACCTTTCATTTTACTGCCAGGAGAGTTCTCACAGGAAAACAATTGGAACCTTTCAGCTACCTCGTTTAATAACAACTGCCTTAAGTGAGGGAGATGCCTACGAATGAAGAAATTGAACATAAAGAGATGTACCAGGAAAGAATCTGCCCAAACCACTTATGCTACTTCTCACATTCCACAGCTCGAAGAAAATGAAAACTCATTGTTACCTTGTTCTCGTTTTGAGGAGCGAGGTTGGTCCCACAAGAAGGGGCAGTCCTAATGGTAGTCATGGGATCTGCCCAAACAGTCATCCCTATGCTTGACTCCCCATCTTCAGCTCAGATAGCTTCCAGATTATGGCTGGATGAATGACAGGAAGGCTGTCCGTGTGGATGATCAGTTATTTATGTGAAAGGGTAAAATATGTAATTAAAAACTTTATTTAGTTAATTTAAGTTTTGTGGCTTTGATTAGTAAATTGATGGCTTCAAATAGAGCTTTCCATAGAAATTTGGGCTGTATTAGATTTTAGACACTAATCAAGAGCACAACTTTGGGCAAGCCAAGGAGTGTGTAATGGGTCAATATTACCTTGTGCTCTTTGCACTTGTTTGTTAGAACTCGTTTTTTTAAATCAAATAACTGCTCTATTCATTAAATGATAGCAAAAAAACAAGTGAATGAATAGTGTAAGGCTATAATAGGATGAGACATCGAACGGACAAAATCCCACGAATCCTTCCCGAACACATTATTTTATTCATCAATACTACGGAGTATTACTCAATATCTAGGTGAATACCTGAATTTGGTCAATAGATAACTCTCAGAATTTCAGATTACAAGAGCGGGTACACCTTTGATATCTCATGTAAGATTGAACAGAATGTCATTAATCAAAGGAAGAAAGTATTGATTTACCTCATACATAGAGATCACTAAATTAAATAGAACTTCAACAAGGACAGCTAAATTCAATAACATGACTGCAACTTGAATGGGAGTTGATCTCTTCAAACCTTCCTCAACTAAAAACCTCGTAAAATTTCTCTACGACAAGCAGCCCTGAGTCAATTGACTCCAACGGATCTTTCCGGAGACGGTGTCTCAAACAGTTAGGTATCACTGTTGCAATATCCTCAGGAGTCACCTCACCCCGTCCTTTTAGGGCAGCCAACGCCCTTGCAGCCCGGTTTGTGACTATATCACCCCTTAGCCCATCAACATTTAGCTCAGCACATACTTTTGAGATCTTGACCCGAAGATTGTGATCAAGTGTGACCGAAGAAAGGGCACGCCTAGCCGAATCAATCTGGTTCCGGAGCTTCTCTTGTTCTTCTTTGTAAGACTCCCGAAATTCCTTAGGGTTTTGATCGAAGCTAGCCCGCTCCTCTACAATCTTCACTCTCAGCTCAGCATCCCTGACGGTCCCCACCTGTGCGTGCATCCCAAACCGGTCGAGAAGCTGTGGCCTTAGCTCCCCTTCTTCCGGGTTCCCAGACCCAATGAGAATGAACCGGGCCGGATGTGATATTGAAATTCCCTCTCTTTCGACCGTGTTCCATCCAGAGGCAGCGGAGTCCAATAGAACATCCACCAAATGGTCATCCAATAGGTTAACCTCATCAACATAAAGAATCCCTCTATTAGCTTTAGCCAGAAGGCCCGGCTCGAATGCTTTCACACCCTCTGTGAGAGCCTTCTCGATGTCGATGGTCCCACACACCCGATCCTCGGTCGCACCCAATGGAAGGTCAACCATGTTGATTGTGGTCAGGACCACTGGCAGTTCTTCGCCTGTTGATATTTTCTCCCGGATTTCCACACTCATCACCTCTGGATCATCTGGATCCGAATTAAATGGGTCACCCGAAACCACTTTGATTTCAGGAAGTAAATCTACCAAGGATCGGACCGTTGTGGACTTCCCGGTTCCCCTGTCTCCCATGATCATGACTCCTCCGATCTTTGGGTCAACTACATTGAGCAACAGACACAATTTCATCTCATCTTGTCCTACTATTGCAGAAAAGGGATACACTGGCCTGCTATCTTTAGCTGCAAGCTTCTGAGCCTATAAATTACACACACAAATGCAAAATTTTACAAAAGAATAGAAATTTCTATACTCGAGTAGACTCAGTATTTTCAAGCAACGTTCTTTTTTCTCCCTGACACATACATGTTCTTTAAACTAGCCTGAGATCCAAATTCCAAATTTTTTATATTTTAACAACTCCTTCTCCATTAGAACTAGGATTTGCAAAGAAATCAGTCAACATTTTGAGCAAGCAGATTTTTTTCAATCCCTTGAGATGAAAGCAGGGGGGAAATTAAAAAATATTTTAGAAATAGAAATATTGTTTTCAACATTAGCTTAGATATTTTGCAAAACTCATATTATTTATGTATTTCCATTATAAAAAGACTAAGAATTCTAAATATGTGTGAAAATAACAAATAAACATTAACCTTTTCTTAATCGCATTTTCTCAGTTAAGACCAAACATATACTAGCACATAATTAAGTAGGGAGTAACAGTTTTTAGAATCGTTTTTCCTTCCCCTATCGCTTACCGGGATCCAAGCACGCCCTGATTTTTTAGCAACCCCAACAACTAAAACTAGCTAGTTCTAATAGCCAAATGAATGCTCTGTCAAAATTAGTGTCAATTTAAACACAGTTCAAAATAAACCTCTTAAGCCCAGAAGTCAAGATACTGGTAACAGAAACCAAATAAGAAGATAAGTGGAAGGAATAACTAAAGAAGAAAAAACACCCGATGTTGAGCAGGGGTAGCTTCAGTGGCAACATTCGAAACTGAAAAATGGAATGGAGATTTCCCCTTGTTTACTGGAAGTGCTATCCCTCCATAACACTTCTTCCCCGCGCTAAAACCTGCAATCAGTACAAAAATATAAACAATACAGACAAAATCAGGAATAAGGCTGGAGAAAACCCAGAGAAATGGGCATTATAAAATATGCCTGAGGAAGGAGGCGAGAGGAAAAGGATGGATGGGTGAGAGAAGATGGATTTAGAAGCAAGAATTGCTAGTGCAGAAGAGGTTGTTCCTCCAACGAGAGTAGCCATAGTTTGAAGTGAGTGCTTTCAGGGAAAGAAGGATTTATAGGATAAGAAGATAGATTTCTAATTCATTTACCCCGTATGATTAAATTCTTGGTCCGGCTTTATGTCTTGTGGGTTCAGGACTACTTCAGGTTACCCAGGTTCATAATTTGGCCCAATACCCACGTTACATATAGCCGCAACTCATAGACACACGGCTTAGTTTTTTTGAAAGAAAAACACCAAATCAGACACAGAAACAACGGGCAAGAACCCTTAAAAGGGCAAGAACCCCCTTTTTAAAAAATGCTTAGTTATAACACAGAAACAACCGCTTAGTTATACACCGATTTCAATTTAAAAGGCAAGAACCCCCTTTTTGAAAAATGCTCATTTTCCAAAAATAAAACTTAATGTTTAAAATATCATGAATAATTGTATAAACACCTTCTCGATATTATCTATTTTGGTACTTCAGGACCTCACGGCTTTAAAACTCATTCACAATTAAGGGTTTCAGGCTCTGCTTATAAGCGCACACACTATCTCATATGCAAGCGATGTGAGAACTTCATGTTCACAACAAACCTCTCATTGTGAGTATCGTGCTGATAACATTTTATAAACAGCTTGTGGATATTGCCCGCTTTGGCACTTCAGGACCTCACGGTTTTATGATGTGTCTACAAGTAAGGGATTCAGGCCCTGCTTATAAGTACACACTCTATCTCGTATGCATGCGATGTGGGGATTTCAGGTTCACAACAAACAAGACTTTTTAAAGGAAAAAAATTAATTATGTTAATTGAATCAAAGTTTAATACATTCGTAATGAAACCCGAGGGTTCAAAAGCCAAATTTGAAGATCATACAAAGAACATGCAGAAGATAAATCATGAGTCACCCTATTCACGGATGATTAATGTGTGTAAAAGAATTATCAGTTCACATTAGAGCCTTGTTGAATCTTTGAAATAGCTCGAGAAGAATCTGATTCCACTTCGATCAAGTCCCACCCTTGCTCCTAAATTGAGCTAAGAGCCTCCCTAATTCCAATTAGTTCACCCTCTCAAAGAAACAACCTCTTTGACCTCGACAATGACTCTCCCGCAGTGAACTGTCCACACTCATTCCTCATAACCCAACCAAGGCCACATCAGTCCTCTCTCACAGCAGCGACCACATTCATATTTATTCTTCCTGGGTAGGATGCCTCCAACACGGACAACCCGACTCCCTTGTCCACTTCCAGCAGAGTGCAATTGCTCCCACCCTTCAATAAAAAGCTTAGCTTTGTGCAAAAGAAGTTTGTTCTCCACCTGAACCCCACTCCACACTCTCTGGTTTCATTCACACCAGATATCGCAACAACGCCAAATCATTTTGCTCAAGTCTTCTTTCATTTAAGCTTGAAATTCTTGTTGCACTTGTGATACATGTCGTTTTGGTCTTGTGTCCCAGAGGCATATAAAAGGGGGCCTAGTTAGTTATTTGTTCCCAAACTGCCCTAATAATTTTTTTCTAGTTATTTTAGTTGTTTCGTTTTATTCTGCTTTCCTTATCATAGTTGTTTCCATTTATCTAGCCTTCTTTATTTTAGGCAGTCTCTTATTAATGATGATGTTTTTACTTGGGCTAAAATTTGTTGGTCTGGTCTGATCTATTTAAGTCTGGTCTAGTGTGGTCTGAATTGATCAGGTCTGATAAATGTTTGGTCTCTGTGTATTTTATAACTATAGAAATCTAATCTGGGTTGGTTTGTTTAAGTCGGGTCTGGTCTGGCCTGATCTGTACAAGTCTGGTTTTGTTTTGGACTAAAAATAGTCCAAGTAAAAACATCCCGAGTCTACAATAGTTTAGATTTGTTTCTTAATATTATTTAGCAACCTTATTTTTGCCTTATAAGGCTTATCACTTTGAATAAAATACTAAGTTTGGATTAATTAATCTTTTGATTTACTAGTGGAGTTGGAGATCACCTTCATTGCCCAGGGCAAAAAGTTAGGGTTTTCTATTCCAACATCATAACTTCCGATCCCATCTTTCATTATCAACGGCCTTGAATGAGATCATATACTAAGGCTCTTAACAACTTGGTATCAACATCTTGGACGATGGGAAATGAAACTCTTAATGTTGAAACCTTCAAAAGTTTCACGGCAGACATCAACCAGAGACAAGGGACTCTCGAGGCAAAGATTACCAATATGATAAATTCTTTTTCTGCGCAACTCACAACATTGAGAAGCAGATCGACAAGCTCAAATGATGACACCAGCCCCCATAGGAGTTCAAGCTCGATCCATGACAACCAGAATCACGACCGTGGTGATTCCAGTATCGTTCCTCGTTATTCCAAACTTGAATTTCTATCCTTTACCGGTATAGGTGTGACACCGCACCCGAACGTCCTAAAAATTAAATTAAATTTCAAAGCTTATGTATTGAATTTCCCTATTATCGAACAATTGTAAAACGATTAAAGTTTTACGTAACGTGTGATTAATAATATTACTGTTTGGGCTCGTATAATAGTAATGGACTTCCAAATAATTAATTGGGCCATCTTATTGATATTGGGGCCCAACATTCTTAAACAAAGATATATAACCCCTCGATACAAAGTAAGAACGGTCGGGCAGTCCAAATGTTATTTTAGGCCTAACCTGCTAAAAATAGCAATTATTCAAGAATGGCGTCCTAGACCCACTGGAGGGTAACCCACAAGGCTAGTAGCCCAGCTATATGATGCTAATGTCATAAATAAGTGATAGAATGATTGGAGAAGAATACAAATGCCTATGGTCTCATCTTTAGCATTGTTAAGCTAAATAATGGAAGTAGGGTCTTCTTTTATAATTATACATCATATAAATTATTGGGACCATCCTACACATATTAGATATCAATAATATGATGTAGAAGGTTGACTTGATCTAAATAAATTGGGATGAGTACAAAAAGTACATCTTATGACAAAAGGTAAAAACAATAGGACCTATCTTTTCACTTTTGGAAGTATTGGTGGATATTTTGCTCCCAAATTAACTAGGGGACATAAGAGTGCGCCCCACACCTTCCTAGAACCTGAAAAACAAGGAGAATAAGTTAGAACACATAAATGGGGCGGACCTATTTAGTTGAGAGCTCAAACAATACAAAAAGAAATAAAAGAGGAGGATCATCCCATGTTTGATTGCAATCAAACATCCCACCCTATCTTTTTGTGAACCACATGCTTAGATATCATTTTGAGAGCTCCCAAACACTCCCAAAAATCCCCCATTCGAACCCCAGCAGATAAGAGAGAAGAGAGAGACTCACAATCCAAAGAAAGGGGGATAAGAGCAACTGGCCGCAGGAGATTTTCCAGTGTGTAGGCCTTCTTGTTCGACTCGTATCTAGAGCTACACCCATCCAAAAAGGGCGTGTGAGGTGTACACTGAAATCTCTCAAGAAGAGGAGTCCATATACGTACGGTTTGAAGAAAACGGAGCAGTTGAAGGCCTCCAAATCGTCCGAACAAAACACAACCTCGCAGAATACGTTTTTGTATTCAAACTAAGTTTGACTCCAAAACTTTCCTTTCTATTGTCTAAATCATATAAATGATTGGAGAACTATTATACACTGTTTCAAGTGTATAAAATGTTATTATAAAGTTACTTTATTTGTTGTAAATGTTAGATACTACCTAGAACAAACCTTGAAAAGTTAGGAAACGTTTTCGCCGGAAAAACACCCATTCTAGGGGCTGTTTTTGTATCATTGGATAAGTGTTGAGCGAGGACCTTTAGGAGGAGGTTAAACCCTCATTTCTAAGCAAGGAATATTTTCTCAAACTTCCTTGATCGAAGCTTTGGTCATTGGATCAAGAAGGGAAAGTTTAAAGCTCAATTAAGGTGAGGATCGACATCTAGTTGCTTACAACTTGTAGGTTAAGCATGAGATTACCTAAATGTCTAAATCATGTTTTTCATGGATTATGATGACTGATTATTGATGAAATATTGATATATTTGATAAGGAATGAAATTGGAAATGATTTGGAATCTTATTGATAAAAATGGAGTTAAATGAGCTATTAATGAACTATTATGTAAAATAGGCATTTTTACTCATGTGTGAATTGTGTAGATACATAAATGAATATTTATGTATTACATTGGATGCTTAGGTTGCTGACACATATCTCTAAATATGTAAGGATTTACAAATGGAATATATGATTGATAGGTATAATCTTAATAGTATTGAAATACTAGTTAATGATTCTTTGTAATTGTTAAGGAATTGAATCTAAGGATTTGATTGTAAGTGAAGTACTTGAATGTGATTCAAATGACTAAATTGAATAAGTATGAAGCTAAGATCTTGTTATGGGTGAAGAGCACTTTGTCACGGTGCATCAAAATAAATTCAATACTAAACACTTATACGTAGTATAGCGTAGTAGAGTTCGTATCCACAGTGAAAAGAATGATTTTCTTTTTATGAAACTAGTAATTAAAAAGGGGGGTTTTGGTTTTGAGTGATTTAATTCAATTAAGAAACTAAGATGAACAACCTATATGTGTTTAATTCAAGAATAAAAGGGACTTGGCTTTGCTACTTTCCACTTGTTGATATATTTTAGTTGATCATTGTTATATCTATAACTTATCCCCTCTCGAATACTCAATCGAGGAGTATCTCCAATTCATCGAGGGTAGTTATTAACAACGACTGTTCATTAATAACCCTTACTATTAATCAAATATAGAACAACGCCGTATACCGATATAATAGTAGCATTCAATCTTTTTAACTCCTTGATGAAATCAATTGAGATTGATAACCTTAACACAACGGTTTCGGTTTAACCAACAAAATTAATCCCTCTTAAGTCTATTAACCACGACCGTGCATTAATAAACCGAAGTTACTTACACAGTATACCCTGTAACATGAAACAGGTCACATCAAGGGGTCTTCCCTTCCAATTTCTTATGCAATGTCCCTTTTTCAGTCATCACCCTTAGGATCCTGCAGAATAAAATGAAATACTTCTCTCATTCTCTCATTTTGCCTTGGTACCCTTTCGGGTTTTCAACCCAGCTTCCTACATTTGTTTGTTTTTTTTTGTTTTTTTTATAAAAATCTCACAAACTCACTCTTATTTTTGCTTTATTTTTGCTTAAGCTGCCCTTTGTGGGTTTTCAACTTAACAAGCTTTCTTTTTTTTTTTGTTTTTTTTAATAAGATAACAAGAATAAAGAGTGTGAATGTGAACATACCGGGAAGATCTCCCCCACCACTAGTCCGTGGCACAGTCCCTAGTGCCCGCCCG